TCTCTCTCTGTTCATTGGCTCAGAGGGAGGGAGCCTCTGGCCAGCCAGTGAGCCAATAAGAAGAGAGTGGGGCAGGGGCGAGCTGTGCTCTGTGTGTGAACAGAAAAAAACCATTGCACAGAGCAGGTAAGTATAACATGTTGGTTTTTTTTTTTTAATTACAAACTTTAGAATCGTTATACAAAGGACACCTCCCCTTATCACATAGCACCGTGCTGCACTATGGAAACAGTCAGCCAATAGCCTTCTGGGATATACCCCAAGAGGTTCTGAGTGGGGGGGTCTGGGGTAATTGCTTAGGCAGTCAGAGTGGAAGAGGGGAGTGGGTACCTGTCAAAACTAGGTACAGCAGTTCCCCCATAAAAAAATAACATTCCAAATACGATGGGGGGGGGGGGGGGGGGGGTCCTGTCCCTTCCTGACTCCAAGCCACACCCCTTGTAACCCCACACTCAGATGTTCCCACTGATGTTCTCATATTTGACAGCTAAATGACTATAATAACTGCAGACTATAATATGTGTATAACTAGCTTTGTAATGTGATAAAGACGTATATTCTCTGCTGCCGGTACTTTCTTTACACTGGAAAAGGGATTACATGCACATAACACAAGTGGTCCTGAATTCCAAAAACACACTTAGAACATAGAGGGGTGGGGCTTAATTTGACTTGGGCAGAAGTCATGGCCCCATGTACAGCCTGAACCAAGGAACAAAGGGGCTCCTACAGGACAGAGTTTTATTTTTTAGAAAATTACTCAGGAGAAAGGGGGGCAAATGTCCATTTGGGTTGCTAGATGCCAGAAATAGGTATCCACTCCCTGGAAAAAAAAAATCAATTTTTTCCAAACACGGTAGAGGGTGGTGAGGGAGCAGGAAAAGCAGAATTTTTGATTTTAGGTGAAGTTCCGCTTTCATCTGCAAGCCGCCATGGACTTTGGAGTACCATGTGACTGCGGAGAATAAAATGAGACCTTTGATGGGTTTCTGTCCTTTCCTGCCAGTGATTAATTAGATTAGTTGGGGGGGGGGGGGCACTATAGTTCTACCCTGGAGGTGGGCCTTAGCCCTGCTTCACATTGAATGTGGCTTTGAAATGGGGGGGGGGGGGGGGGGGCACTATAGTTCTACCCTGGAGGTGGGCCTTAGCCCTGCTTTACATTGAATGTGGCTTTGAAATTGCCCTACTTCAGCTGAAATAGTGTGATCTCCAAGCTGCCAGTCAGTGCAATTTCATGTGCAGCTTGCCGGCATCTGTGCGACTTCATTCACAGATGTTAGGGATGCACCGATGTATCTGCAGCTGAAATGGATCAGCCGAAAGTAGTGTCATTGATATTTAGCAATAGGAAAAAAGATGCAGATAAACGCGATTTTGCATTTAGAGCTGATTCACACATGTGCGGTGCGGATTGAGAGCATGTGCGGTGCGGATTGAGAGCCGATTCACGCACGGTGCGGATTGAGAGCCGATTCACGCATGTGCGGTGCGGATTGAGAGCCGATTCACGCATGTGCGGTGCGGATTGAGAGCCGATTCACACATGTGCGGTGCGGATTGAGAGCCGATGCACACATCACGCATGTGCGGTGCGGATTGAGAGCCGATTCACACATGTGCGGTGCGGATTGAGAGCCGATGCACACATGTGCGGTGCGGATTGAGAGCCGATGCACACATGTGCGGTGCGGATTGAGAGCCGATGCACACATGTGCGGTGTGGATTGCGGAGAGCCGCCGATCACACATGTGCGGTGCGGATTGAGAGCCGATTCACACATGTGCGGTGCGGATTGAGAGCCGATTCACACATGTGCGGTGGGTGAGGACTGAAAGCCGATCACACATGTGCGGTGCGGATAGAGAGCCGAATCACACATGTGCGGTGTGGATTGAGAGCTGAATCACACATGTGCATTGCGGATTGAGAGCTGAATCACACATGTGCGGTGTGGACTGAAAGCTGATTCACACATGTGCGGTGCGGATTGAAGCTCAGATTTCACAGCTAATTGATACATTAGTTGTTCAAGGTTCATGTCAGGTTTCCATCAGGTTCAGGACAGGATTAGGTCAGGATTTTTATCCCGTTCACACATATGTGGTTTAGAAACGGTTCCCATAGAAGTCAATAGCCTGTAATCCACACCTGAACCTGACCGCACTGCTCAGAAATCGGACATGACTTTTTAAAACCGCACTGAATATGCACTGCACATATGAGAACAGGCACCATAGGAAGCAATGTTTTTTTTTCATGTCATGCGGATTAGATGCGGTTCAAACCACATCCAATCCGCATATATGCCAACCAGCACTAGGGGTGCGTTTTTCATAGCTCATGTGACTCAAAAACCCTCAATGCATTTCAGGCCTGGTTCACACCAATGCAGCTCCCGTTTTGCTGCGCATTTTGCAGTGTGTTTTGAGGAGTTTTTTGGCTAACTTGTTGCTCGGCAGATTACAAAAAAATGCAAAACGCATCACAAATGCGGCAAAGCCGCACTACATGGGTTTTCTGCAGCATCTCCATTGAAGTCTATTGAACAAAAAAATGCAACCTTTTGTGTTTAAAAAAGTCCGACCCTTTGCAAAAATGCAGCAAAAAACACAGATGTGAACATGTTCCATAGGAAACCATGCTAAATGGACTGTAGTGCGTTTCTGCAAAAAGCACTACAAAATCACTGATGTGAACAGGCCTCAATGGGAGGTGCGTTTTTGGTGTGATTTTTTTTTTTAACTGACCAAATATGCACCAAAAATGTGGAAAGCAGGATTCTGAACACTGCAAGGGAAGCACAACAGACCAGTGTGCAGACATGCATTGAGTTCAAGGGCTAGTTCCACTAGATGCAGTTCAGGGCGCTTTTTTTTTTCTGCATCAAAAATGCATGCACAGTGTTTTCCATGTATTCCAATGGCCCTAGTTCACACTAGTGCAGTCAGTTCCAGTTTCCAGTGAGAAAAAAAAAAAAAAGTAGATCATGCTGCATTTTTTCTGCACATAATCATACTGGAACATAGTGAACTGCGTCAAAACTGCACCAGAACTGCGCGTGGTGCGTACTGTAAGCAAAAACATGCAAAGTGCATTTCTGTAGTGTGAACTGGTCCTAAGGGCTAGTTCACACTAGATACAATTCAGTGCGCTTTTTTGTTTCTGCATCAAAAGTTCATGCAGTGTTTTCCCTGTATTCCAATGGCCCTAGTTCATACTAGTGCAGTCAGTTTCCGGTGCAGAAAAAAAAAAGGTAGAACATGCTCCATTTTTCTGAACAGAACCATATTGGAACATAGCAAACTGCATCGGAACTGCACGTCGTGTGAACTGTAAGCAAAAACCTATCTGGAATGCATGGGGAGTGCATTTTTGTAGTGTGAACTGGTCCTAAGGGCTAGTTCACACTAGAGGTAGTTCAGTGCACTTTTTTCTGCATCAAAAATGCATGCACAGTGTTTTCCATGTATTCCAATGCAGTTCACACTTGCAGTCAGTTCCCAATGTGAAACATGCTGCATTTTTTCTGAACCTAACTGGAACATGGCAAACTGCATCAAAACTGGAACTGCACGTGGTGTGAACTGTAAGCACGTGTGAAGTGCATTTTTGTAGTGTGAACTGGTCCTAAGGGCTAGTTCACACTAGATGCAGTTCAGTACATTATTTTTCTGCATCAAAAGTTCATGAACAGTGTTTTCCCTGCATTCCAATGGCCCTAGTTCACACCAGTGCAGTCACTTCCAGTCAGTTTCAGAAAAAAAAGTAGAACATGCTGCATTCTTTCTGCACAGAACCGTACTGGAACATAGCAAACTGCATCAAAACTGCACGGGAACTGCGTGTGGTGTGAACTGTAAGCAATAACGTATCTGGAATGCATCCAGCGTGCATTTTTGTAGTGTGAATCGGCCCTCAAGGGATGCATTTTTCTTGAGCTTTTTTTTTTTTTTAAAACGCAAGAGCGCTTCAAAAACTGCTCAGTGTGAAAGCAGCCTATTGGCCGAAAAGTTGCTGAAAATAAATTCAGATTCATATAAATTGATGACAAAAGTCGAATATAATACAATTATATAAAAAAAATATATTTTTTTTTTAAAAACTGTCCATTTCGGTTTTCGGCAAATGCATCCTGAATGTTCCCTTTCGGTGCCCCACTAACAGAGGTGGATGCAAGTCGCACATGAAGTAACCGAAAATAGCGCAGGAACCGTCTTCAGAACCGGTGCCAGTCGGAGTCGCAGTGATTTGAGCGGTTCCATAGGCACAAACAGGGTGTGGCTTGTCATGTGATTATGAAGTGACAAATCCCATTGGTGTGAATGGAAGATGGTTGCTAAAGGTGGACTACGCCTTTAACCCCTCGCTGACTGTAACACATATATGTGGCAGTGGGGAACACCATGCCGCCACACGAGTGTCCATGGCAACAAGAGGTTGTGTCCTGAGGGATCTTGCTGTATATTGGACATACGGACTGACACCTCTTCTGATTGGCAGGGAGCGGGATGGGCTTCTGTGAGAGCCAATCAGAAGCCTTTCCCTCTTGTATTGAACTGTATTGTCTCCCGTTATATTGTTCAGCGCTGAGCAAACTGTTATATAAATCCTGTATAATAATAATATATAAATCCTGTATAATAATAATATATAAATTCTGTATAATAATAACAATAAGCTGCATCACCTGTCAGGCTTATAGGGCGGCATTAAGCAGGCACAATGGGGCAGGGCAATCAGCGACTTTCCTCCACCAAGTCAGCATTTGCATATCTGAGCTTCCTAGGTGAGGTGGGCGGTCCCAGCCCCCCTGTGATGGTTCCCTATGGTCACATCTCTCCACCCAACACAATGCCTAGGAGAGCTGGACTGATGTGACGTCATCTGCCCGGCTCCACCTACATCCACAATGCCATAGCAGAGCCGACTGACCCTTGAAACCTCTGCTGCCCCCCAGCGGCCTCCCTGACCCATCACCCCCCATTCTCCTCCTCACCTGCCAGGGCCAGGATATGCGCCGGCTGCGCTCCGGCCTCCTCCTCCTCCTCCTCGGGGCTCCGGTACACGGCGTACACTTTCCTGTCATCGAAGTCCTCCGGAGAGCTGGGCTGGAAGCCCCGGACGCGGGCGGCGGGCAGCGTGTCACAGACGTTATCCTCCAGGAAGCGGACTAGAGCGAACATGGTCCGCCCGCTGCCGCCGGGGCCCGGGATTCGCCGCTCGGCGATCGGCAGGACGCGGCTGCCTTGGCAACGGAGCGGATCCGGCGGCGACCAGGCGAGAGCAATGGATTCCCGAGCTGCCGCTAACCCGTGCAGTGCCAGGCTGGGGCGCAGTGCTGGGCAGAGGGTGGGGGAGGAGTGCCAGATCTGCTGTATGCGGGACACACAGGGGCCTGGCAGCCATGTATTCACCCAGGATTCACTCAACTTTATGTATTGTCACCAAAAAACACATTAAAGTGGAACTTCACTCTTAATCACCTGGGACTATTTGTGATCCTTCTGCTGCTAGCATTAGTAAATGGACAGGAAAGTATTATATTTACTTGTTTTCAGGGGCGGACTGACCATTTGGAAACTCGGGCACTGCCCGGGGTCAGTAGGGGGCCCCATGAGATGCCCCTGGTACCTTTTTCATAGGCTTTTTTGAGTGTGGGCAAGGACACAGGGGCCCCATGATCCTCTATTGCCCGGGGGCCCCATGAGTTGTCAGTCTGCCCCTGCTTGTTTTACATTTGTTTTTTTACTTCAGTTATTTCCTGGTTTCTGGCCTAGGTAAATGATGTCATACATTCCAGCAGTCTTCAGGAGGAGAGGAGAGGCTTCTTCAGCTAAGCACACCCTCCTGCCTGCATACCTGAGCTAAGGGCAGCTGGATTCCAGGAAGTAAATGCTACATGAATCATCTGCCCTTACTCAAGATGGCCACAGACAGAAATTCTTGGGAGCATTTTTTTTAAACCTCTTCCCATCCAGCCGTTTATCAGCAAAGCCCGGACGGGAAGAGGTTAAAAAAAAAATGCTCCCAAGAATTTCTGACTGTGGCCATCTTGAGTAAGGGCAGATGATTCATGTAGCGTTTACTTCCGGGAATCAAAGTGTTGCCGATGTGGAATGTTTCCAAACATCCCCCCCCATCTATTGCCTGTGCGTGCACCGCGATCTGTGTCCACCGGAACACAGATCGCTGTATGGGACCTCTGTGTGAGATCCCGATTCATGTGATTGCTGATTGGCCAATCAGCGATCACATGAATAGTAGTAAGCAAGATGTCACTTCCTGACATCATTGCTTACTATGTGTGAACTCTGTGAATGATCACAGAGGTCACATGGTACAGGCTATTCACAACAGCTTTGTACCATGTGACAAGCTGTGACCAATCACAGCTCACACAGTATTTCTCAATGGCTGCAAGAATGCAGCCAGAGAGAAGGAGAAATGATTGCTTTTACAGCCTTTATGGGTGTAAAAGCAATCAGTGTAAAAAAAAAAAAAAAAAAAAATCTTCATCACCCCCCACAAGTAGTACAGTGTCACTGTGGTGACAATATGTTAAAAAAAACAAATAATATAAAAAAATAAAAAATTAGAAAAATTATAATTTTTGGTTATAAACTAATTTGGGTTATTTTTTTTTACTAAAAACATAACTGAATACATTTTGGCCGAGATTTATGAAGAACGATTATTTGCAAAATTTTATAAGAAAAAACACTTTTTTCAAAATTTTTGGACTTTTTCATTTATATAGCAAAAAAAATAAAAATCCCAGTGGTGAATAAATACCACCAAAATAAAGTTTTATCTGTCTCAAAAAAATGCTAAAAAATATGTTTGCAGTGTAAAAGCAATCAGTATAAAGAAAAAAAATAAATCTTCACCCCCCCGCCCAAGTAGTACAGTGTCACTTACCGTTCTCTTTGACAGGCCTGTTTTTTCCTGTCCTGATGTCATATCCGCTTCACTTCTGATCCAGCTAAAAATATTTGCAGTTGAGAATGCATACTTTTTCGATCATTTGTTTTCCAGTGACAGAGATGGTGGAAACGCAGAGCAAACAGTCCAGGAAAAGGATCGTCTTTGAGAAACGATCGATTGAAGGCCCATTCACACTTGTGTTGCAGTAACGCTCGGTGACGCATGTTGCATGCATTGGTCCTGTGTGGTTCCTTTTATTTTGAATGTCATCCCAAAGCAACTGACTGGTGGACGTTATTTGCAGAGCAGTGCAATGCTTGGCAGTACACTAAAGTGCGTTTCAGTTCCCCACCAGAAACGCAACATGCGTTTTTTTTTTTTTTTTAATACATTAGTCGCCTATTCAATGAATGGGCTGCCTTACACAACATGCATTAACACACATATGCTTTTGTACTGAAATGGTGTAAGGCAAGTTTCACATCTATGCATGGATAGTTGATGCGTTTTTTGGAGGCCTGTTAACTGCTGCGTTTTGCATTTTATTCGCATTTTGATGCGTTTTGCATTTTTGGGAGTTGTTAATGTTACTAGGAGCAGGTGTCTATTGTAATGCAGGAAAACACAACAAAAAATGCCTGTGCCTTTGTTTTTGATGCATTTATATTAAAGTCTATGGAGCCAAAACGCACTGTGTTGCATGTAACAAAAAAAAAAAAAAAAAATCCCCATACCGTTACCAAAAACGCACTGGTGGAAACTGCATAGATGTGAAGGTGATGCATAGGAACTAATGTTTTTCATGACGCAAGGAACGCATCATCTAAAATGAGTTGCAAGCATAAATGGTGCTTTTTGCATCAACGCAGTTCAGAGGCGCTTATTGCTTTCTCAGTCGCAGCATATTGAAGTGGTTTTCTGCGCTGCCATCCTTGAACGCTGCTGCGCTTTTTTTTTTTTTTTTTTTTTTTAGACGTAACGCAATGCTGCGCTTGTGTGTATACCATCACATTACATATTGTGGTCGTGCAAGGCAGTTGTTTCACGTCTGGAAATAAAACGCATACAATCCGTCCTGCTTGCCGCTAGCAGAGACATCCGTTAAATGTTAGGTTTTCTTTCCACTGTTTGTGGAACTACAAGACTCAGCCCTGACGGATCATCGTATTGCAACCTTCCAGCTGCCCTGATTTCCAGGGAAACCCTTGGTTTTCGGTTAAAACAAATCAACAGTACAATTTTTATTCCCACGTTTTATTGTCATTATAAATAAAAAAAACAACTGAAAACATTTGATATAAATCATCGATCAACATTTATTGGGTAAATAAGCCATCTGGATCTTCACACTTTTTGTGTTTTATTCTTCATGCATTCTTTTAATGCGTTTTTGAGTAACACATTTTATATCTGGTGTTCTGATATTTTTGTGCTATATTCTTCATTGCTTTTTTCATTGCATGCAGATTCCCCATTTTGCAAATGTGTTGACGTGCGATTTTCATATGTCAGCAAAAACAAGCAGCCCAGGTACGATGAATGAAGTGCAGCTTAATCCCTAATTTATGAGAACTGTCAATTTAAAAAGTTGCCCGTGGGGTTTTGAAGAAACTTCTCTTTTTACAACAACAAATCAAAAGATATTTTTTCTAAAAAAATTCATTTTTATTGTACAAAATATGATAAAAAACATAGTAAAATGCCAAAAGGCATATCAATATATGAGAATTGGGTTACAAAATAATATATACACATGACAGGCTAGACATAGAATATCCTGATACTCAACGCGTTTTGTGAAGCAGCGTTCACTTCTTCAGGAGACAGTAATGTTCCATAGAATATAAAACCAAGTACAATCTATGTACATCAAAGTCACATCCTTTTCTGGCAAAAAAAAGTTGGGATACAATGGGAAAGGCGACATAGGACATGCTCAGCTTGGGAGCTGTTGAGAAGGCAGGGAGCTGCCACTCAGACTACACCAAGACGAAGGTGGGCCAAATTGGATGACAAATAACTGAAACTACACAAAGATTTCAAGAGTCTAGTCCCCAGAGATCCACAGTGTTCACAGCCATTGTTCAAAAAAGGAACTAGAGATGTTTTATTTTTCATGCATTTTTAAATACGGTTTTCAATGCGTTTCTGAGTAACACATTTTATATCTGGTGTTCTGATATTTTTGTGCTATTTTTGAATAACATGTTTTCATTGCATGCCGATTCCCATTTTGTAAACGTGTTAACATGCGATTTTCATGCATTTTTATATGTCATCAAAAACAAGCAGCCCAGGTACGATGAATCAAGTGCAGCTTAATCCCTAAATTATGAGAACTCTCAATTTAAAAAGTTGCCCGTGGGGTTTTGAAGAAACTACACTTTTTACAACAACAAATCAAAAGATATATTTTTTTTTTAATTCATTTTTATTGTACAAAATATGATAAAAAACATAGTAAAATGCCAAACGACATATCAATATATGAGAATTGGGTTACAAAATAATATATACACGACAGGCTAGACATATAATATCCTGATGCTCAACGCGTTTCGTGAAGCAGCGTTTACTTCAGGAGGAGTGATGTTCCATAGAATATAAAACCAAGTACAATCTATGTACATCAAAGTCACATCCTTTTCTGGCAAAAGAAACGTTGGGATACAATGGGAAAGGCGACATAGGACATGCTCAGCTTGGGAGCTGTTGAGAAGGCAGGGAGCTGCCACTCAGACTACACCAAGACGAAGGTGGGCCAAATTGGATGACAAATAAATAACTGAAACTACACAAAGATTTCAAGAGTCTAGTCCCCAGAGATCCACAGTGTTCACAGCCATTGTTCAGAAAAAGGAACTAGAGATGTTTTATTTTTCATGCATTTTTAAATACGGTTTTCAATACATTTTTGAGTAACACGTTTTATATCTGGTTTCCTGATATTTTTGTGCTATTTTTGAATAACATGTTTTCATTGCATGCGGATTCCCATTTTGTAAATGTGTTGACATGTGATTTTCATGCATTTTTATATGTCATCAAAAACAAGCAGCCCAGGTATGAATGAAGTGCAGCTTAAACCCTAAATTATGAGAACTCTCAATTTAAAAAGTTGCCTGTGGGGTTTTGAAGAAACTACACTTTTTACAACAACAAATCAAAAGATATTTTTTCTAAAAAGAAATTCATTTATAATGTACAAAATATGATTAAAATAGTAAAATGCCCAAAGGCATATCAATATATGAGAATTGGGTTACAAAATAATATATACACATGACAGGCTAGACAAATGATATCCTGATGCTCAACGCATTTCGTGAAAGAGTGTTCACTTTCTCAGGAGACAGTGATGTTCCATAGAATATAAAACCAAGTACAATCTATGTACATCAAAGTCACATATCCTTTTCTGGCCAAAAAAATGTTGGGATACAATGGGAAAGGGGACATAGGACATGTTCAGTCCGGGAGCTGTAGAGAGGGCAGGGAGCCACCACGCAGGGGCCACACCAAGATGAAGGTGGGCCAAATTGAATGACACTAAATAAATAACTGAAACTACACAAATATTTCAAGAGTCTAGTTCCCAGAGATCCACAGTGTTCACAGCCATTGTTCAGGAAAAGGAATTAGAGATGTGTTTTATTTTTCATGCATTTTTAAATGTGGTTTTCAATGTATTTTTGAGTAACACGTTTTACAGATACTTTGGGTAAAATAAATACTTGTGATGCAATTGGTTAAATATCTTTTATGTTAAATGCAGCGACTGACTGAGCCCAGGCATTAGTTGAACATGGATGTGTGTGTTTTATCAGTCTATATCACTATGAATATTCTTTAGTTTTACTGAAATTCAGGTGATCGGATCCAGAGGTAAATGTCATCGATTTTTTAATTTTTTTTTAAATTATTATTATTATTCATATTTAGTTTAACAGATTTGTTTCAACTGCTGACTGATTAATCTCAAGGACCAAAAATCATATTTGTGAATATTTTTCTGCAATATGAATCAGTTGTTATGGATATGTGGTCAAAACTGACTGAAAGTTGATCAATCACATAAATCGATTTGATGATTGATCTGTGACAAATTGTTACTTGTGTCTGCATTAGGGCACATTGAAACATACATTTATAATAGTCTGACTGACAATAAAACACGTGTTGTAGCCTCTAATAACATGATAAATACACAATGCTTCTGTCACAAGTCGTGACGGAACGCGTAGGACTGCAGTGTGGTGATGTCACGTCCGGCTGCGGACGGCAGCTGCCATCTTGCTACACCCAGCTCTATGTCTATTGCTGTACATGCTTTTATAAAAAAAAAAGTTATGCTCCTAAAAGTGCCATTTATAATGCTTAGTGTGCATGAGGCCTAGAGGATATTTTATGTGTTGCTATGGCATATCTCTCGAAGTTTCACTCATCATTTATCAACAGACCCACTTTAAAAACATAATACATTAATTAGAAATGAATTAAAATACAGGCCCCTGTACATACATAGTATTACTGTCCTGAAAATAAATACAAAAAACATTTGCTTCCCATGTTAACACTCAGAACTCATTAAAGGTCAATAGAATTATCATACCTTTTTATTTTTTTGTAGACCTAGACTCTAGATGTTATGATTTGTAACTGATTCTTACTAGTAAATACCTTAAAATACCTTTTTCTCCCATCCTACTCTCACACTGCAGTGCTCTGTGCTGGCATAGCTGAGTAGCATTCACACCCATCACACTGACTTATATTGTGTAAAAGGGAAGGGGTGTGTTTAGCCAGGTCTGTTACATTACAGAGAGCACTGAGTCTACCTCTGGTGCCTGTTGAACAGCAGTCATAACTAGACTCCCTGCACACCTGCTGTAAAAAGAAAGTGGAAGGAGGACAACATGAAAAGAGGTTGTTATTAAAACATCTACTTCACTTTTAAATTAAACAGAGAAGATGTATTGTTCATATTACACAAATGCATTCTCAATAATGTCTAAGTATTACACTTACCAGTATGTATTACCTCTCAGTTAGATCTCAGTACTCCCACTGACCATGTCTTCACCTGCTTTTCTCTCCGGAAGGACAGCACCAGGCGTTATCCAGTGTCTGCATCAACTTCCTGGACTGAGATGCTGGTTCAGAGATGACACAATCATATACGCCCTGGTGCCTGAGCAGTTCTTGGCTGAGTTTAGAAATGCTAACACAGATCAGCCCATGCTGCAGCCTCTCACTTTAACTTTCTACAAGTTATCATGTTATAAGTCTGATCCCTGCAGAGAGGAGACTGAGACAATGATTCCTCCTGCCTGCAGCAAACTGGTGACCAGGGGTGGACTGACCATTTGGAAACTCGGGCACCGCCCGAGGCCCGGGGTCAGTAGGGGGCCCCATGAGATCCCCCTGGTACCTTTTTCATAGGCTTTTTTGAGTTTGAGCAAGGACACAGGGGCCCCATGATCCCTATTGCCGGGGGCCCCATGAGTTGTCAGTCCGCCCCTTGCTGGTGACATCATCTCAGCCTTGGCCAGCCTTTCTAAACTAGAGTTCCTCCAGAGGTTGCTAGGGGTCCCTTGACCAATGTCTGCCTCTTAGATAAGGTACAAGCAACTAGGTAGAAGCTGGCAATTACAGGCCAGTAAGTTTAACATCAGTTGTAATCAAGTTAATGGAATCACTCCTGAAAAGAAGGATCATTGATCACTTAAAAAACACACAACTTGCTGGATACTAAGCAGCATGGCTTTACCAAGGGCAGATCATGTCAAACTAATCTGATTGGATTTTTTGACTATACTATCAATGTTTTTGAACACGGGTGATGTTGTGGACATAGCATATCTTGATTTCAGGAAGGCATTTGATACAGTTCCACATAATGATCTGATACAAAAGTTGTACAAGCTAGGACCTAGCCCTTGGGTGGTTCAGTGGATATGCAGCTGGCTAAAGGATAGATACCAGAGTGTGATTGTAAATGGGGTTCACTCGGAACAGAGACCAGTCACTAGTGGTGTACCCCAAGGCTCTGTACTAGGTCCTGTTCTATTAATCTATATGTAAGTGATATAACTAAAGGTTTGTTGGGTAAGGCATGTCTTTTTGCTGATGACACAAAGGTGTGCAATAGGGTTGATATCCCTGGAGGTGTCTGTAACATGGCACATGATTTGGCGTTGCTGGAAGATTGGTCAAAAATGTGGAAATTGCAGTTCAATATTTCTAAATGTAAAATAATGCACCTAGGGAAAAATAATCCCTTGAGAGAGTACAATATTGGAGGTACAGTGTTGGCCAGCACTACAGAGGAAAAGGATTTGGGGGTATTTACTGCAGAATGAGCAAACAGTGTGGCCAGGCAGTGGGGAAAGCAAATATAATTCTAGGATGCATCACTAGAGGGGTCACCAGCAGGAGGAAGGATATCCGGGTTCCTATATATAGATCTTTAGTTAGACCTCATTTAGAATACTATGTCCAGTTCTGGAGACCTCACAAAAAGATATTGATAAAATAGAACAAGTCCAGAGACGGGTAACAAAAATGGTGAAAGGATAAAACATATCATGAGCGACTTCAGGAACTTGACATGTACAGTCTGGAGGAAAAAGGGCAAGGGGAGACATGATTGAAACCTAAAATACATCAAGGGGGTGAATAAGGTTCAGGAGGGCAGTATTTTCAATACGAAACCAAAATCAAGAACACGGGGACATGACCTTTAAACTAACTGGAGGAAAGTTCAGAACTAATTTCAGAAAGTGTTATTTTACTGAAAGAGTAGTTGATGCTTGGAATAAACTTCCAGTAGGTAGTGAGCCAGTCAACAGTAAATAGCTTCAAACATGCTTGGGAAAAGCATAGATCTATACTCAGACAAAAAAGTTAACAAAAGAAAACCAACCCCCCTTCCCCCTCCAAAAAAAAAAAAAATGGACAGACTCGATGGACCACTTGGTCTTTTTCTGTCGTCACGTTTTTATGTTAGTAAGTAACCACTGATACAATGATCAAGTTGCAGTCTGATCTCTGGCATGGAGGAGACTGAGGAGATGATTCCTTCTGTCTGCAGCAGACTGGTGACATAATCTCAGCCTTGGCTAACCTTTCTCAACTAGAGTTCCTCCAGAGGTTGCTAGGGGTCCCTTGAACAATGTCTGCCTCCTATATAAGTAATCACTGACGCCAAAGATCTTTTAAGCTGAAAGGAGGGATATTCACCCCAATGTCTACAAATGTAAGGACCATGTCTTACCAGAATGATGAGGTCACGTGACCATGATGTAACGCGTAGGATGTGATCGGAGGCAGATGCAGACTGGAAGTGACATATGCAGAAGTGCACTTCAGTCTCTCTGATGTTTTACTGCTTTCATACAATGTTTTTAATGTGCGTAAAATATTCTTTTAAGAAATTAGAACTAATGTACATTCTACACTATTGGAGGTCCCTTTGTTTCCCTTTGTTTCCCACCTGCATTGTTTGGGCAAGTTCAGGGGTGGCTAACCTGTGGCTCTCCAGCTGTTGTCTACATTTCCCATATAGAGTTATAGAGCCACCTGCATGAAAGAGAACCTAAAGGGACTCCCCCCATGGTCTAGTTGGAGCACTGTACAAAATGGCCACTGCCCCAGTCTATAACTGGCCTTCGCAGCAAGGAGCACATGGAAGGGCAACACATGTTAAACAACAAAAAAGAAACAAATTCCCAGCTCTAACTTGCTAGCCTGCAAACAAACTGAATTAACCTGTCTAACAGTATGTGTTAAAAACGAGGCTCTGTAGCTTACGCATGCATTTGCAAATGTGTGCTAACTAAACCCCTGTGTTTAACGTATACTGTTAGGTTAATTCGGTTTGTTTGCAGGCTGGCTGGTAAGTTAGAATTTTCTTTTTTGTTGTTTGACATGCGTCACCCTTCCATGTGCTCCTTGCTGTGACTGGCAGTTATAGACTGGGGCAGCGGCCATTTTTTGTACTGTTGAATTGTTGGTCGAGGGGGCGCACTGGACACCCTAGCTGCCATTGTGCTACATGCTGGGTGTCCAGTGCGCTCCTGTACCTTTAAGGAGGGGTGGGCTCCCTCAGGTCCACCTGCCCGTGGTCTATCCATTAAATACCTGTGCCTCTACTATGGGGGCTCTTAAAATTGTAGAGTTAGGAACTACAGAATACTGGGGTGCCCTGACGAGGCTCTGTAGCTTACGCACGTGTTTGCAAATGTGTGCTAACTAAAGCCCTGTTTTTAACGCAGACTGTTAGGTTAATTCAGTTTGTTTGCAGGCTGGCTGGCAAGTTACAGCTGGGAATTTTTTTTTTTTTTTTTTTTTTTTTTTGTTGGAGCACTGGGCAAATACAGGTGAAACTCAAAAAATTAGAATATCGTGCCAAAGTTTATTTATTTCAGTAATGCAACTTAAAAGGTGAAACTATTATATGAGATAGACTCATTACATGCAAAGCAAGATAGTTCAAGCCGTGATTTGTCATAATTGTGATGATTATGGCTTACAGCTCATGAAAACCCCAAATCCACAATCTCAGAAAATTAGAATATTGTGAAAAGGTGCAATATTCTAGGCTCAAAGTGTCCCACTCTAATCAGCTCATTAAGCCATAACACCTGCAAAGGGTTCCTGAGCCTTTAAATGGTCTCTCAGTCTGGTTCAGTAGGAATCACAATCATGGGAAAGACTGCTGACCTGACAGTTGTGCAGAAAACCATCATTGACACTCTCCATAAGAGGAAAGCCTCAAAGGTAATTGCAAAAGAAGTTGGATGTTCCCAAAGTGCTGTATCAAAGCACATTAATAGAAAGTTATGTGGAAGGGAAAAGTGTGGAAGAAAAAGGTGCACAAGCAGCAGGGATGACCACAGCCTGGAGAGGATTGTCAGGAAAAGGCCATTCAAAAGTGTTGGTGACTTTCACAAGGAGTGGACTGAGGATGGAGTCAGTGCATCAAGAACCACCACACACAGACGGATCCTGGACATGGGCTTCAAATGTCGTATTCCTCTTCTCAAGCCACTCCTGAACAACAAACAACATCAGAAGCGTCTTACCTGGGCTAAAGAAAAACATACCTGGTCTGTTGCTCAGTGGTCCAAAGGCCTCTTTTCTGATGAGAGCAACTTTGCATCTCATTTGGAAACCAAGGACCCAGAGTATGGAGGAAGAATGGAGAGGCACACACTGCAAGATGCTTGAAGTCCAGTGTGAAGTTTCCACAGTCTGTGTGGATTTGGGGAGCCATGTCATCTGCTGGTGTTGGCCCACTGTGCTTCATTAAGTCCAGGGTAAATGGAGCCGTCTACCAGGAGATTTTGGAGCACTTCATGCTTCCTTCCGCAGATGAGCTTTATGGGGATGCTGACTTCATTTTCCAGCAGGACTTGGCACCTGCCCACACTGCCAAAAGCACCAAAACCTGGTACAATGACCGTGGGATTACTGTGCTTGATTTGCCAGCAAACTCACCTGACCTGACCCCCATAGAGAATCTATGGGGCATTGCCAAGAGAAACATGAGAGACATGAGACCGAACAATGCAGAAGAGCTGAAGGCCGCTATTGAAGCATCCTGGTCTTCCATACCACCTCAGCAGTGCCACAGGCTGATGTCTTCCATGCCATGCAGCATTGAGGCAGTAATTTCTGCAAAAGGGGCCCAAACCAAGTACTGAGTACATATGCATGCTTATACTTTTCAGAGGTCCGATATTGTTCTATGAACAATCCTTGTTTTATTGATTGCATGTAATATTCAAATTTTTTGAGATTGTGGATTTGGGGTTTTCATGAGCTGCAAGTCATAATCATCACAATTATGACAAATCACGGCTTGAACTATCTTGCTTTGGATGTAATGAGTCTATCTCATATATTAGTTTCACCTTTTAAGTTGCATTATTGAAATAAATGAACTTTTGCACGATATTCTAATTTTTCGAGTTTCACCTGTATGTGGAGAGCCCCTAGATGTATTAACACTAAGAGGCTTTTATACAACCTCTTGAAGGTGAGAGCTCTGTGAGCACCGAGATGTTGGAGGTGGCTTTTTTCAATATACACAAAGGTATAAATTGGAGCACTAGTACCGATGGTGATGGCTTTTAACATCACAGAAGATGCTCTTTGCCGATGAATGAATCTATTTAAGGAGAGACTTTTTGTTGCAGGGATCTTGTTAATTGTTTTCTCTTGTATCTAAGTCCACTCTAGTTTTCCGAGCACTCTTATTAAGTGTTATACTAATGGAAGAAATGTGATTTACCATTATTTACAGTTTATATTGAGTCACTTTATCCATTGAGTACATATTTATGTAAGTTTATCACCATGCATATAAGGAGATTGAGGTAATATCTTTGTATCTTTGGATGGATGATATGTCACTAGGATTGTTCGCTTATATATCACTTGATCACTACATCACATTTATTTATCGTGGGTTGCTGTAGCGCAGCATTGCATGATTACTTCAATTATTAGAAAGAGTTCCCAGAGACCAGAAAGTTATTTCCGAAGTTCCACCATGTTAGATTTAG